GAAATTAATAATATGTCAGCAAGAGTAGGAATTATGAATTCATATACAAATTCTTTTTTATAATATCCGGTAGGATCAAACATGCTTGTAGGAGGATCTGGGGGAGTAATAAAAGACGAACAAAATGGAAGAAATTGGAACACCTTGTCATGAATACCAATGGTATAAGGTGACCTTTTTCGGTGCTTACCACCCGCGACTAATTTAAGATATTTCACAATCTCATTTCGTCTGTTTAAAATCAGCCTATTTTGTGGTGTAGTATCAATTTGAACAATTTGATTAGGCTGAATAGGTGGATTTAATGTAGGTTGAGGAGACGTTACGTTTGTCCATGGAGTGGTAAACCTATTTCTAACCAATTGCGTCGAATTTGAGGAGCTCGAGCTCGAGTTATTTTGTGGTAATTTTAAGTTAATATTAATCTTGGACTTTTGTGGTTTCTGATAACCAAATAAAAAGTCCTTTCTTGTTGGCTGTTCGTCCTGAATTTTCAATGTCCTAACTCTTGCTGACATATTATTAATTTCACTTTCTCTTTAAATTATAAAAAAAAAAAAAATTTTTTTGTTGTATGTTAGTTATTAAATAAATAAAGTTTTCAAAAATTATAAAAAATTTCGGATGAAGTAAATAAGGTAATATATTCAATGTAGCTATAGTTTACCTTTTTCTGTTATCTTCAAAATTAAATGTTCGTGTTGAAGAAGCAGAAGTACTATTCATTAAATGATTTGATAAAGGCTTTGATTTTAAAGCCTCAATCAAATTAAATTGGAAATTATCCCAATCCTGTCGCACAAATGGGTTCATTTCCACGTTGGACAATATTTTGGAAATAGCAGAATGTTTTAATAACATTTCTGGAGTATAAGAAGTAAAACGGTCACAGAAATTTTGAAGAGCAGCGTGCAAATGATCCATTTGATCTTTTAATTGTTCTTGCCAACACCTAGTTATCCAATGATAACGCTCAAGAGATTCGTCAATTACACTATAAATCTCTTGTTTTTTCTTAGCAGTCCATTCTCCGCGTTTCACGATATTTACACCCAGAAACTCATTTTGTGATGACGTTATATGAGGAACCCAATAATATTGGGTTATTCCATCGTCATCTGGACACGGAACTATATGAGGAGTTCCTGTAAAAACTTCACTTTCTATCTTCCATCCTATTTCGAGTTCTTGACGGCTAAAGATAAATAATATAATGACGGTAATAGTGATAATCGACTAAATAATTGTCCTCATATGATCTTTCTCCAAATATAACTTTCCAACTTGAACGACAATAATGTTTCTCCAAAAACTATCTCACTTCCGACTCATACAATGCCATCCATATGTAAAAAAAGATAACTTTAAATCTGTCACAGATGGCATAGCTACAGATTATTACGAAATTGGAAGTGAATAATTTTAAGGAGTTTCACTATATCGTGGTTCATAGCTGGAAAGTCGTATGAATATAGTTCATAAATAAGGATGAGAAAATTCTTACCTTTTGGCTCTCTTATGTAAACATTCTTTACATGATCTAACACAAGCTACCCAATAGATCTGAATCCGCTCGCTTGTACGCTTGCAGAATTCACATCCATTTTCAAAATTCAACAATCGAGCGAGTTTCTGCTCGTTTAACCCTTTCGGTGGGCCCATGTCCTTGAAAGGAGTAAACCTTTCTCTGGACGTTTTCCAAATATCCCATGAAACAGAAAAAATGTTTCCATCAAGCATATTTTTAAAATATTTACAAACACAAGCCAACATCATTAGATCTTTTGGAGGCAGATGATAACAAATATTGACAAACATTTCGAATGAAATGTTGTCTTGCATCTTGGCTTCTGGAGGATACCTGATTGGCTCCGAAAAGTATTTCAATATTACATTAATTTGAAATTCTTTTGTTGAATGTACACTCGAGTCATCAATTTCCATCGAGTCCATACTATAAAGAAATAACAATAATTCATTCATATTATTAAAAAAAAAATGTTACTCAATTTTAAAACACCTTTTATCAGTATTTACCTTAATACCAAATGCTTCTGCTACTAAGAAACCAAAAAATATAAAAGAATGGTTACTTTCAAAAAAAAAAGAAGAAGAATATGATATAGTGTTCTAAATATTTAAAATTTATTAAAAAAAGACCCAAGAACATACCAGAAACCAAAAGAAATTGTCGCTTTATCAATGAGAGCGTTACCTTTTATATGATTTAATAACATATTGAGATGTAATTGGTTGATCAATTCAAATATTGACAACAAAAATTTCAAACTACTAAACCCAAAAATCCCAACTTTCTCAACCTATTTCTAATAAAAATACCTCCAAATGTCAGAAGATTACGACGATTACGGTAATGAAGACGCAGGGTAAGTTTCAATTTTTGAACATTCTCCAAGTTTCGGCATTATTAAACTGAGAATTAACTAAAACATTTTCCTTATAAACAGATATAATGATGACCTTCTAGTGAGTTTTATGTTGTGATCTTTTATTTTTTAAAAATTATTTAAGGAATTATTCATTTCTTTTGATATAGGAAGATGAGTTTGAACCCGATCTGATAGATGAAGAACTAGAACCAGAAATTCCAAATGGATTTGCTGACGAACAAGGAGAAGGAGGGATACCTGGTATCAATGTACAAAATGGGGTTGCGATACTGGTAAATGGCGCGGAAGGTGCAGAGATGGACGTTGATAGTAATAAGCAAGTGGTCGTAGAAAAAGAGAGGGTTACAACCCCTTACATGACAAAGTACGAAAAAGCACGAATATTGGGAACTAGAGCTTTACAAATAAGGTAAGATTAAATTTAAAAAATTTTAAATTCTGATTTATTTACGCATAATCTTCTTTTATATATAAAGTATGAATGCTCCAATTCTCGTTCCACGTGAGAACGAAACGGATCCTCTTGAGATAGCTAAAAAAGAGCTTCGATTTAAAAAAATTCCTTTGATGATACGAAGATACTTACCGGATGGAAGTTATGAAGATTGGAATGTCAGAGAATTGACCATTCCTGAAGATGAAGATTATAGTAATACTTAATATTGTGAACATTAGTGTTAAAGAATTAAATCTCAAAATTATAATTTGTAGATAGTTTTTAAAACTTTGTATATCTATTTCTGAATAATTAATAAAACAATATAATACGAACTTTAACTAAAATAAATTTTATTAATCCCGCAAACTTGATTATTCTAATTATATTATTTATATGATTATTTTACGTTTTTAATTACAAAGGTGAATACTTTGATATAAATCTAAATTTCTTTTTAAGAAACATCATTCTTTTACCAATGTGAATTCTTTTTAAAGACATCAAGTTACCTGCATCACTAAATAATCTTTCAGAAGCTGTTGAAGTTAATGAATAATTCATGTAATAATAAGATTATATATAAACAATCAAGTAAGTCAAAAGATTTGCATTTAAAGATCTAATAATACTAAATCCATTTTTTTAAGATTGGGTTATAACAAGGTTTCATATACCTTCTTTTTTTAACTTAATTTAACAAATCATCTGTATTTACTAAAATATTGATTTTAATATGATAACTTTATTCTTAAATTATTTTTATTAGAATTATTTAAATTCTTTTTTATTTTTATTTTGAAATATCATTTATATTTTAATCTTATAATAATTATATAATATAAAATTATTAAAAAAAATAAATAATGATAGATTACATTAAATGAAACTTCTTTAAAATAATTTTAAAATATATAAAAATTCTTTAATTAAATCATATTTTAACTTAATAAGATTTATAATTTATAATTTTTATTCATTCTTTTTTACATTTGATAATTTAATATTGAATTTAATTTGCATTAATCTAAATTATGATAAATTCTACTTTATAGATATAACTAATTAAATATTTACTTAAATCCTAAATTTTATAATATAATTTTTATAAATAAAAAATTAAATATAATACCAAATTTATATTATAAATTTATCATATTTAATTAAATTAAACAATTATTAAATAAAATAAAATAGAATCTATAATTAAATTTTTTTTTGTACTTTTTATTAATCTTTCAAATTATTTGAAATAAAAAAAATTTTAATTAATTTTTTAACTTATATTATTAAAATTTTATATAATTTAAGAATTTTATTAATTATAATTTTTCATTTAAATCTAAAAATATCTTTAAATCATACTTTTAAAAATATTTTCATAAATAAAATTAATTAATTATAATATAATATATCATTTGTTTAAAAAGTTTAAAATCATAAATTTTAATAAATTATCATAAGAATTCTAAAATTATGAATTAATAATTTATAAGAAATTAATATAAATAAGTATAGTTTATATTAACTAAAATAAAAATTTAAGTTATTTAATGTAATATATTATATATAATATATGTAATATAATTAATATACATTATCAATATAATATTAATATAATTTTTATTATTTTAAAAATAAAACATTTTTTTTTAAAATATAGATTTATCTACTGTACTATTCTGAAAATAAGCAACAAATAACAAATAAATATTTATTATTAGTATGTGACAAATAATATAATAAAATACACGTGATAAATAAAATAATTACTATAAAAGAAACATATTATAGGTTGCTTATTTTCAGAATGGTATAGTAATTATTTTAAATTACTGTATAGCACTAACTAAAAGATCACCCTTTCAACATACCCTACTATAATATATCTGGGTATTTTATTAGACGAGTAAAAATTTTCTGATTAAGATCTGGGTATAATTTTTTTTAAATGGATAAATTGATATAGACCTGGGTATTTTATCCGTCAATAAACTGTGTTAATTAATATCAAAATTTTTTTTTAAGGACTTCCAAAATTTCAAAATTATATTATTTTAATAAACACAGTATATAAAATTTAGTTAGTCAATAATACTTTATTACTACAAAAATATACATAAAACTCATATTGTAATTATCAATTCTAATCTTGAATTACATTTTGTTCTTCATTCTCTTTATAATAATTATCCTCTAATTCACTTTCATCGCTATCTTCTAATTCAATTTCATCATTATCTTCTAATTCACTTTCATTTTCATTATAATCACTATCTTCATCACTGTTTTCATCATTACCTTCATTATCTTTT